CAATCACAGGAATTAGACTACAACTGACACCTACACAGACCGAGGTGACCCTGCTGCATCTTGCGACACTGTTCAGATAGCCTGCCTGTACCTAGCTGTAGTACAGTCAGAACCATTACAGTCAGAAAAAAAGGATGGAAAATGTCAGCTTGGTGCTCTCACTGCTGATTTTTTTTTATCATATTTACATTTGTCAAATCAGAATACAGAAGAAAGAGCAAAAACCTCAACACGTAACACATTAGACCAAGAAAAAACTATTCATAAACTAGAGCTTCTGGGTACTTTACTTAAGTACTTATAGAGTCCACTCACAACACAAAGGGATGTTTTAGTTGCAGAAGTTATATTTTTCCTACTTATCTACAAACAAGAGAAATCCTTTCCGGTGCTCATGCTGCACCTCAGACTACACGGAGATACATACTACATGCATTCTAAAGAGCTGTGGGTCAGCTTTCAGTGTAACACTTTCTCAGGTGTTTAACTGCAGCCCAGGTGCCTGAGAGCAAAAGTGCCCAAGCACAACTTGGCTTTCCATTTATTTCACCTAAAATATACTTGCAGCCCATATTGTTCATACAAAGGGTATGTTTTAAAGCTCTCAAAGACAGAATCTATAATCATGTGAACATATAGATAGATCGATATTTACGTATATTGGAAACAGTTTACTTTTGAGGGATGAAAACCGAAGACTAAAAAAAGTATCTCCTGCTCTAGTGCCAGATTTGGTCGCATATCTCTCTCTTTTTTTGCTTGGAGGCCATCACACCAACATCCTCATTCTTCTTCTTTCTATCCGTCCCCCCATTCAGACAAGGCTGAAGTGCAAATTGGACATCTGGTGCTGTGATGTGTCTGACAATACAGCCGCCACCCCATAGCCCTCTCACACATAGAGAGAGAGACAGACACACACATAGAGAGAGACACACACACACACACACACACACACACACACACACACACACACACACACACACACACACACACACACACACACACACACACACACACACACACACACACACACACACACACACACACACACACACACAGAGCGATGGACAGAAACAAGGCAACCAAAAGCAGGAGGATTTCATTTTAAATGATAGCGTAATAAGTTGCTTTACATTAGACATTAAGGCAAAATAGATATGCATATGTGTATAATCATTAACAAAAGTATTTATAGCTAATTGAATATTAAGTGCTCATACAAAGTCTGCCTGGAAAGATAAATAACCTATAAACAGTAAAATATAAACTAAGTGCAGCTTCATTGTAGGGCAACATTTGATGTAACTTAAATGTAACTTAGATGCAGTTAATAAAGGGAATTATCTTTACTAGCTACAGTCAGAGAAGACTACAAGTTTCCAAGTAGTTTACAACAGGTTTTGTAGAGCTTTAACACTGAAAGCTGCTTCTCTGTGTTTAGTTTTGACTTTAGAAACAGCCGGTACACCAAGCCCAGATGATCCGAGTGGAAATTGATTATGCCCAAATGGTGCTTTATGAATCAACAGTCACAGTAAAGTTAATTATTTTACATAAAGGAAGCCATTGTAAAGATCTGAGGGCTGTGATAGAAACCCATCTATTGAGAGGACCTCTAGAAGCAGCTTCTAAATCAGCCTGCCAGAATTAGAACAGGTGAGTCTACTTAAAACGAAGACATGGATACGATTTCTAACTCCCACTGAAACGGATGTCCTTTCATTATGTCATGTGAGACATAAGGCTAACTTTGTCATTTACATATTGTGGATTTTAACATGCAGCTGCATTTCATTGTTCTTCTTTAGTTCTGTCTCTCCTTAAACGGAGACAATATAGTACATCCAAACATCAATTTGTTCACTCTATTAACTATTGCTTACTAAATCTTGTTGAATTTTAATATTGTATAATTATTTGTGACTTCTGCAGAATATGATCCAACATTTTGCGCGTTCCATAATCAACAATATAAAGAATGATTTGTCATTTTTCAACACAGACTGTGGCTGATTTATATCAAATTTAATCTACAATCCACATTTATTTGAGCACATTTTGTTACTTTTCTACTGGTTAAAACATAAATAGGGGCAGGAAGTCAAAAATATTAGCCTAACTCAGGGCCAAACTTACAGGAATACGAGGAAGTATGCCCTTCAGTCGAAAGTAGAGGCTTATGATGAGCTGAGAATGTTTTCACGATTTCTTTTATCATAGACCATAGCACCTAGAATGCAGTGTATTTATTGTTTTACTTATTGTGTTCCTTATCTTCGTGTCTCCCATATTTTAAAATTAGTTTTCTGCATAGCTGCATATGAAACTTTCCTCCTTTTATGTCATTACATAAAATCACCTCGAACGATTTACCCGGAGGTAGAATGTCAGCAGTGACTGTGTCCCTCCTTTGGCCATCCACTAGATGTCCAGAGTCAAAGTTGGCTGTGCTAAATCCAAAATCCATTCCACTCTTGCAATCATCTTAAGGAATTGCATCCAGAAGTTTCCAACAGGTAGGCATCATGTTCACAGGACAGAAATTCCTAGGTTTTAGTAAGTCTTTGAGTCTGTGCACTTGATTGGTTCTGAAGAGATGCATGTCCGGGGGGCTGATCATGAACATTGGGCTGTGCTCTGGAGTGATCTGGGCCCATAATATTGTTTGAGTAGAAAGTTACTCTACATTTACCCTAATGACATACAATATCTTCCTGCCGGATGTATTTAAAGATGAAGAGGAACGGGATAAAACAATAGATCAACAAACAAAAGTATTTTTGGCCAGCAAACCCAGGAGTGATCAGCAAGGTATGCTTGTGTGAAATACTCATAGAAAGGCTGACTAAGCAGAATAACCCACTTTACTACCAAAGGCATTCTATTCAGTTGTGTCTATTTATAAAGGAGCATATTTCTTACCAGTACAAACAATGCATCTGCACTTACAAGCTTTACAAGGTAGGATATTCATTTTCTTGAATCATCTGTGGCCTAAAACAACAGACAGGTAATAATGCTTCTTCAGGTAGTGCTCCTTTCTTCTCAGCCAGTTAGTCTCCTGCAACACAGTCGACACAGTATCTGTCCTCTTTACACAAGCTCCTATCATCTCTTTACACAAGCTCCTATCATCACTGATTGACACAGTTTCCTTTTTTCTTCTCTTAAGAAAATACTTCTGTCCATTTTTTAATCAGAGTTTGTGAATAATATTTGCATAATTCCTGCTTGATGATTTTTTTGTATGCTCCAAATGTTTGGCCCCCCTCGGATTTCTCCACTTTTAGTTTAAATGTTTGTGTGTTCTTTCAGGGCCTCTGTTTGCAAGCAACCAAATGTTTGTTACTAAAGTCTTTTTAGATGCTGGAAGATAGTGCCTTAGCAGGCAAAAGAAGAGAGGGGAAATAAAGCCTTCACAGAAGGCTGACTCTCAAAGGAGCGACTGTATACCTGCATTAGAAATAATAAAAACACACAGGTAATCCCACAAACGGCTCTATCACTTTGCTTTGAACATCAAAGACTGAACGCAATTAAAAGCAACATAGCAGGGGATGCAAATAAAAAACTGATTACAAAAGAACATTGTCTCATTATCTTAATGGATATTGCAGTTGGTTGTACTACTGAAGTAAGTTAGAGGTGAACTTTACAATGGAGTGTGATTTGATCGATGGTGTTGTAGTTTGACTCCACGTGGGTATTTTGGGGTAAGAAATCCTTAAAATGCCACAGACAAAGTAGCTTTCAGTGTCTATGCAATATATGTAAAAAGCCAAAAATCCATCTGCCTCACGCCATTATAATTAATACAATATAAAATAATTGGTATGTTAACTCTTCAATGAAGCAACAAGAAGGCAACATCTTGAAATGTCATGTTACCAAAAATTTCAGGTAATAAATATTAAATAGTAGGGATGCAACAATACAGTCAGTCTGCGGTTCAATATGTATGTACCTTGGTTTTCTGTTCAGCTTGTTTCTTAAGGCCCGGGCTGTTGGAGTGTTTCTTTGGTATTCTGTTCTTTGGAGTTTTTACGCAATTTTACAGGAACAGCAAGGGGCTACGAAAAAACAACTTTTTTATTCCAAACTGATTTCTTTATTTTACTTTACAACAAAACAACCTCTCCAGTTATACACCTTCCTGGTGTCTGCTGTATAGTCTCAGTGAGTAGGTGGCATAATTTAAGTAGTGTGATGAGTAGACCCGCTGTACAAACAGGAAGACATGTCAGTATTATGAAATATATATTTTTTTAAATGTTTGCCGACCTTCACACAAAAACAAGTCATAAAGCAGTTGATATTTCATTCTGTCGGGTTACTTTTTGTTTCAAACATTGCTTTGTCTTTTCTCCATTCACTCTCACCTCGTCTGCATGATGCAGGAATCACCTGCTGGCTGCATGTGTGTAACAATCAGCAGCTTCATGTTAGTAACGTTACAGCCTGCTGTATAGTCTTTGCTGTAAAGACAAACTCTGTAAGGGTTTCCAAATGAGTAGGCGACACATGTAAAACAATTTGACTCTGAGGAAGCCGTAGTGCATTGAAAAGTTAGTCATTTGCCTTAAGTGATTTGTGTGCTCTAGTATTGTCTTTGGATCCTGTCTGAAAGAAGGCATCCACTGAATTATATTTTTTGTACGTCTAAAGTCCTCTGAGAACACCAACCTCCATTTTTGGAGTGGCTGAAGCGCAAGAGTTTCCTTCCTTCCAGTCTTGTCCGCTTCCCCCAACCTTAAGTGCATGTGATACCCAGCGCATGGACTCACTGCCACACACAAACAGAGCCAACTCGGAGAGGAATACATGCATGTTGGCTAGTGTACGCAAAACTGAAAGTCTGCAAGCAACAAGAGAGTAGTGAACCGCCCTTATTTAGAGAATTGTTGCATCCTTTCATAATAGACCCAAAATCTGGAAAGTTGCAAAAAAGGTTTCCTTGATTTATTTAATATTCCTCAAAAAAGGTACATAGCTGTTACCTCCCCAAGAGCTTCATATCGTTTCTGATTCCAGCGGTGGAGATCCTCCCTGGCGTTGAATACAAAGGGCTCTCTTGATTTTATATGTCTGAGCTGGCCATCTGTGAAGAAAGAGAAATTGTAAGGAAAAAAACACATCTGTAATGATAACTGACACATGAATTTGTCAGAAAAGGTGGCAGATCACTACTTCTGAAGGAAAATGCAAGATCATTTCCATCTAAAAGATAAGGCAAACTAAGCTTGTCCAGTCAGGGTTTATTCTCGCTAATCTTCTATTTTGCTCTCTTTTGGTCCCTTTGCTTTTTTTTTTTTTATCCCTCCCTCACTCAACCCCCAGCTCCCCATTTGGCAGGTACAAGGCCTGTGGATGCAGCGGCGTTCTTCCAGTCACGACTATAACATCCTTCTGGGTAGTCTGGTAGGCCAGTGCTGGACAGCTGGTATGGTAAAAAAAATCGTTGCCTCTATCCCTCTTCTCCATCCCTCTGAAAGCATCTCCCCTTCCTCTTCAACTGTGTCAAACTCCCTCTTCTTCCTTGCTCATTCTGGCAGCAGGCCACAAGCCTGTCTCTGCCATTTCACCTGGAACCTCCAAGAGCAAAGACTAAAGGAGGTGTGGGAAAGGGTTGCAGCACATTCACGCTTGCGTGTGTGTGTGTGTGTGTGTGTGTGTGTGTGTGTGTGTGTGTGTGTGTGTGTGTGTGTGTGTGTGTGTGTGTGTGTGTGTGTGTGTGTGTGTGTGTGTGTGAGGTAGGCTGGCACACATTAGCCACCAAGACAACTGCTCCTTGCAATTCCTTTGAGGTTGCTGACTGTCTGGGTATCAGCCAAACACCCTAACTAGCACAGCTTACACAAACACAAACACACAACTGCATGCACGCACACACACACACACTGACACACAACAACAGAGAAGCAGATCCAGCCAGGAGGGCCAGGTGCAACTGTGTGTGTGTGTGTGTGTGTGTGTGTGTGTGTGTGTGTGTGTGTGTGTGTGTGTGTGTGTGTGTGTGTGTGTGTGTGTGTGTGTGTGTGTGTGCGTGTTTGTTTCTCTAAAATGTTACGATTGCATTTACAACACAACACCCGACTGAGGAGAGACAAAAGCTCTTTGGGACAATTTTTAAGTGATTTATTGTAAATCCAGGCAAACAGAGGAGTTTGTATCATATCCAGGTTTTATTGGATATAAAACTATCATAAGACGGGAAAACGCTGTTCAGAAATGGTACTGCTTTTTCTTTAATACCAATTACCCTTGTGTGTCTGTGCAACCTCTGTGTTTATACCTTAGCAATGAGCCCATCGATCCTGGGGTTGACATTACAACACAATAAAACACTAAAGAGTGTTAAATTTAATTTTGACCTTTATGACTGCAGCATCTGTAAGAGCTAAACCACCGAAAAGTACACATACTTAACCCAAATAGCCAGGGGGCTCTCATACTTCCTCAATTATTGCACAATGTGAGGAAACCCATCTAGGATATAAATAAATATAATACCTTCGCAAGATAAAGAATGCAAAAGCACTTTTTCATCTCCTTCTAAATTGCCACCATTTTTGCCCCTCTATCAATGTGATAAATCTTTCATGGCTAACAAACTGTTTATCCAGCATTTATTTTTATGGAAAGTTGTTAGACAACCTGCAATCAGGAATCTAGGTTTGTCATCATGTTGCATTAAAAAGCAGAGTGGTGCCTGCAGAGGTGGAGCAGGAGACGAGTGAAAAGTAAGGATAAAGCAGTGTGCACAAAAAGTACCTTGAAGGAAATCAATTATACATTCATGCAGGGATGAGGATCTAAACACTACTGCCTAAGAGAAGGAAGAGAGGAGCTATAATGAAATCCTACTGTAGGAAAGGGGTGTGCGTGTGCAGGCAGGAGGAAGCATCATGTGTGTATGTGTGTTTGAATATGAGCTAGGGGGGGGTGATCAGCTCCATTGCCTCCCCCAACACATCCTCTCAGAGGAATAACGTTTTCTCAACTTTTCTCCTCTTTTCTGTCATAATTAGCATTCTGTTCTCAATTTGGCCGCTTAATTAGGTGTACATAACCTTGGATTTCCAGTAATGGAAAACTGGAGGGCTAGCAAGATGAAGCCATCATCTTCAGTGATTAAGATACCTGCAAACTATTGTACACAGCCTCGTCTGTATTCACATCATTACATGGTCAAATTAACATTTTTGTTCCACCTGTCTCGGGCAAAAGGTAGCTTGGGTGTAGCTATAGAAATACCCGAGGGCCAGAGGGAGTGTGAAATGCTATCCTTGAGAAACAGGCCTGAGTGGAAATTGACAAGACATACAGATGAGTAAGTGTGTGTGTGTGTGTGTGTGTGTGTGTGTGTGTGTGTGTGTGTGTGTGTGTGTGTGTGTGTGTGTGTGTGTTTTTGAGAGAGAGAAGGAGGGAGAGAGAGAGAGAGAGAGAGAGAGAGAGAGAGAGAGAGAGAGAGAGAGAGTTGGGTGGGGTAAAAGGGGCGAGGGCAGAAATAGAGAGATACAGAGAGTGAAAGAAACAGAGAATGAGGAGCAGAAAGGTAAGAGAGAAAGGATGAAGAGTCTCTGAATGTGTTCCTCCCTCCATGGGAGACTGAGCCGGGACTTGAGGGTGGGGTAGGGTGAGTGTGTCGGTGTTGGCATGGTGGCGGGTTGGGGGTTAGTCTCTGCGTCTCTGTTCTTAGGCACAGCGAGGTTATGCAAATGCTCCGTCAGGCGCAGGGCAAGGCTGAGTAGGTTACTGACGGGCCGTAGAGTACACAACATGTCCCCCACTCAGCCAGCCAGACAGCCAGCAGAGACACTGACAGAGAACAGAGGGGGGAGAGAGAGAGAGAGAGCAAGAGGCTATGGGGGAATACTAAGAGACAAAATCACAAGCTTTTCAAGCCTCCAGCTTCTTCCTTCTGTCCACCTGGTTTCATCAAAACCAGACAGGGGAATTCTAAAATTACTTTTATATCTGCAGGACCCACACGGCATTTTGTCCAGCTCTACTACCTTCTCTCCCTAATAATTGACACACACACAGGCACGCACGTACAAACACACACGCACACAAGGGTGCCCACACACACACAGATCCTGGTTAGATACAAATTACGGCTTTCTTTCTTTATAGAAATTAATTCACCAAAAAGAAAAGTTGTTTTCTTTCTTTACTGAAATGGAAATGTGTTTTATGTTAATGATAACACATTGACTGTTAATTTATTATTTAAAAAATCTTCAAAACTGCACCACATCACATGACCATCTCTCATTCTAACTCTAACAAATCTACCCTCAAACCCTTTATTTCCTGTTTTCTTGTTTATTTATGCCATCATTTATTATAGTCGACGTGTTTAAATTTTTGTAAAGTAATACCTAAAATGTATAAAATGATCTATTCAATAATTGTATACAGTATGTTAATCACTCTCTTTATCCCTTAATATTTAATGTAAGACAAACAAAACTTTACTTCTTCACTCTCTTCAGCTGCATTCTTCCTGCCTCCTGAAGGAATTATGAACCACCCAACAAACAAACACGATAAGTGACTATCTCATTAGGCTGCATTCTCGTACCTGTCTTCTTTTTTATTTTTTCCACTGCCGCAGTGAACAGTCTTTGCAGTTGCATAGAGTTTGTATCATGTTTAACATTGATAAATAAACAATTAATAAGCTTTAATAATTCCTGCAAAGTGACACATTTAAGTATGTCATTTAAGTCTCCCATCATGACCAAATAATATTATGGAAATACTAGAGAGAGAGAGAGAGAGAGAGAGAGAGAGAGAGAGAGAGACACATCCATACAGGCAGTGTGGATGGGCCCATGTGCCAAGAGGTGTTCTTGGACAAGAGGAGTAAGTATTGGTGTGTTATCAAGCGATCTTGAACATGACTCATTTATAAACCAGTGGTTCCCATAAAGGGGGCCCGGGACCTTCCAGTGGTCCCAGGAGTAATCTGGAGGGACACTCGGTTTGTTGTTCTAAAGGAACAATGTTGTTTAGACTTTAAATTTGTTAAACTTTATATTTTTGTGCATTTGTCATACTTAAGAGCAAAAGTCACTTTTTATCTCAGACAGACCTATCTACATGGCTCCAGGTCTAATGTTATGAAGAAGACATAGGCAGTGATTAGAGGGGAAATAAAGGTGGAAAAAACATAGTACGGCTTTCCATTCAAGTGTTTCATTTTCAAATACAGGATAGTTAGTCCAGTGTTTCTCAAACTTTATTCTGTCATGGCAACCTTTAAAAATTTGCAGAATCCCAAGTCACTCCAGTCCAAGTTTCTTTTTTTTTCTTTTTTTTTTAAGATTTATTTTTGGGCTTTTAGTGCCTTTAATGGAGAGACAGGACAGTGGATAAAGTCGGAAACCAGGGAGAGAGAGTGGGGAACGACATGCGGGAAAGAGGCCACAGGCGGGATGCAAACCCGGGCCGCTCGCTTGAGACGGCAGCCTCAATGCATGGGGCGCGCGCCCTAACCATTGCGCCACCAGCGCGCCCCAGTCCAAGTTTATTCATATAAAATAAACATTCTACATCCCTCTGACAGCCGTCTTACACACAACAAGGGTTTGTTTCGAGTTATACAACAATGCATAACTGACTTACAATCAGTGGGAAACCTTACCCGGGGACAATATACACATCCGCCCTATTCTGGCAAGGATTGATGAGAGGCAGACACAGAGCTCAACCATAGTCCTCAGTAGCTCTCTGTACAGTTCACACAAATATGTTGTGGAGAGGGGCAGTAGAATGTCAACTGCAGTAGGCTACCTGAAACGATTGGATATTCCTTCTCCAATTATATCCAAAACATTTTTAAGGCTGTGTCGTGAAATTAAATTTTAATGTATGATCTTCACTGATAACTCCTGTGCCGGCAATGGCAAGTCTTTTGAGCTGTCCAGTGCACATAAACTCCATGGGTCACGTACCCAGTCAAACTTTGCCAATGGCTCTGACGGAAAATAATGGCAAAACCGAGAAATTTCTGATGCTGAGAGATACGGTCATAGAGTGTGCCGTTGTCTGAATGTTCACTGCACAGGACAAACATCTCAAGTCATCCTTGTTCCACAAAGGAACGCCAGAGTCAGTTTAGATCTAAAGCCACGCAATTTGAAGAGAAGATTTTCTTCTTTGCCTTTCACTTTAGCGTTCAGTTAATTTAGATCGGGCAAATGCTCCACGAGTGGAGAGTTCTCTGCCATCAGGAATATTCTTTCTATTATTTCTTCTATGACTGTGTGCAGCAGCAGTGTATGATGTTCCATATCCATGCATAGAAGCTAAAAAATAAATAAAATGATTCGTCTTGCCACTGGCCTCATCCACCCTTGCTGCTGGATTGCCACGGTATGATGAAGTTGATGACTCTGATTCAGAGTTATCTGTTTCTGGATAAATAAGGAGTTTCAAGTAGACAAGGTTTCTTTTTCAGGTGTCACAGGATAAAAAGACCTGGTGGTATGTGCAACAGTTTATGCATTAAAAAACAGACCTATGTTTCCTAAGTTTACATCTGAACCTAACAACTGATTTGAGTCTGTTTACTATCTGTTCACATAAACTGAAGTATACTCTTGAACTGTCAGTAGTGTCATTGTATTCACTCAGAGTTAATGTGATTATGGTCAAAGCAGAAGGCCTGGTGAGGTTATGCTTTGAAGATTCAATCGCGTACTTACAGTCATTGAAGGCATATTCAAACTCCTGCAGTGTTTTCGGGAACGTGAAAGGCGGTTCATCTTTCTTCATCAGTTCATCTAAGTCTATTCTTGACAGCAAATCTGAGGAGAAAGAGAAAGATAAGAGTTGAGCAAAGAAATGAGTGATGACAGCATTTCTTCAAAGAATGTCAAAGTCAAAAAATATATGTTATAATCTCAATAACAACATTATAATCAAAGAATATGCAGCAACATCACCTATATCATTTCAAGAAAGCCTACATATTTTTTAAAGTTATGAAGAAAACGTTTGTGTCACACAAAAGTCCTTCCTACGTTTTACACTAAAAGCTTTTCATCATCCTTGAGAGGCTCAGCAGTTTGAAATAATAATACCAAATAAAAACCAATCCAAAAAGTCTATTAAAAAATGTTTTACACTTTTGAAATTCTATCACAAATGCAGAAGAAAACTGGAAACAAATCACAAGTGATTTGCTAAAAGGGTAGGGGAAGTGTTAGACTCAAGGTTAAGTGGAACATTTCTAGTCCTATAGGGCCAAAAAGTCTAAATAATACCTGATTTTAAAGATCTTGATTAGAAAAAGTAATCAAACATTTTCAAAAATTAAGTTACATAGATGGCATAACTATATGTATAGTGTTGCAAATAAGAGTAGAAGATGTTGGGAAATAGTGATGATTTACACATTTTCATAATGCCATTTACCAATTTAGTGTAAGAATATTGTGACCTCATAAGACACCTTCATTAATTTGTTTGTCATTAGACAAATCAGATGTGTTGGTTTGTTAACCTTCAGGTCAAGATCAGGAAATAGTTTAACGTTGCCAATTTATAAGATGAAGTTTTAAATGCAAATGAACAAAGTTTAACTTCCATGCCACCTGTGCCCAGAGTCATCACTCATTAGGCAGCAAAACTTCTGCAGAAGAGGCAAACTTTAGCTGACTCTTTGGTTGTCTTTAAATGACACATTATACCACACTATTTTTGAATGACATCCTCCAACAACAGTCGGATCAACATTCGATGTTTCTAAACATCCAAAAGTTCATACATCCAGTCCAAATCCAAGAAAACAGTTCTAAGTTGTTTAATGATGGAATAGGATCTTCAAGACTACTTATATGAGCTTGCACAGTGCGAGGACAACTGACCGTGCAGTTTCAGTAATGTGCACCAAACCAAACAGAAGTAAAAACACAACACCAAAGTTTACACAACATATTGTGAAAATGGAAGAATCCTCAAAAATAACTGGGAATCAAAAACAGCAAGCGGTGTGAAACAGATATCTGAGCAGAGTGATTGGTAAAAGATTTGGAGCAACGCTGAAGCTGCCTTGGAAGTCATGGCCCAGTGCATTCTGGTTGTTGAAGGTTTTCTATCTTTTTAGCAGAGCATAAAGGAATACCATAGACCATTTTCTATCGGAAATGTTGGACCAAATTGTAAAACATATTTGAGTCTTTCTGTGGCAGAGACTGCCCGGTTTTATAAAAGAAAAGACCATTGGTGATGTGTGAAATACTTTTTAAACTAGGGTCAAAGCAGCAGGCATTTTAGGAGAGTTGGTTTTCATGGAGCAAACCAACAAAACTCACATTTTGCGGGATGACTCAAGAGACAGCTTCAAAATAACGAGGTAGAAATTAAAGTTTATAATGAAATGAAATTGTATTTTAATGACCTTAAATTCAGCATGTGGAAATAGTGTATGAGAGTCATCATAAAAAAAGTTCATATGTTTACTGCATATTCCAAGTTAGAACAACACCACCTCGATGTTCTTTCATCAGAGTCTTTATTTTTTTTTACCTTTGAGAGCAGTAGTCTTCTCCTCTTGACCTACAATCTGAGCCATAGTGATCCACAATATGTACAGGGCTGGTGTGGCAGCACAAAGATGAGATAGCATGGGTCCTCCCCTTCCAAAATTCACTGTGTTACAGCCTGAGATAGAAAATAAAAGAAGTGAAATGCACTGTTTATGTAATACCCTTATCTTACACTGTGAGGGAGTTCATTCCTTCTTGATTGACAAGCGACCAAAACAGAAAGTGCCTCACAGCTGTTGCACCAGGAAGCCTCACCACTCACAGTGAACTGTTGAATGTTGCACTGATATACAGGCAGCTTATAACTTAGGAAATGACACGAACAGTGATTATTTACACTGCAATAACACACTACGTGAGAGTTATTACGAAAGCTGCCGTGTGTTCGCTGAACTTTGCACACGTGAAACAACTGAATTAATTATGCAAACACAGCGAAGTAAATCATTGATTTGAACACTAAAAACACTCACATTTACCGCTAAACCAACCTCAGACTACGTTGTCATTGTGTCATGTAATGTTTCGTTCACTTAAAAACAACTCTCGGAACATGTCCAGTCGCTCTGCACAGAGCCAGAGGAAACATTTAAGGCACGGTATGATATTCATGCTTGTTTTTCACAGTCTACTCAACTAAACGACACCCGGGTTTCAGAGAGGAACAGCTGTTTACATGAGATGCATACATGCTTTTTGTTCGACTCACGCACCATCATCAGTTCATGCGAGTGTCCAGTGGCTACTGCTTCCTTGAAATTTCTAAAACAGGAAGGACTCGAAGGAGGACTGAGCGTGAAGCGCGTGAAGCTTCCGGGTTACCGGGGCAACGGACTGGAAGGAAGATTTAAAGACACAGTAGCACAGCAGCTGCTCCAGTTACAGTCTGTGGTTAATACAGATGTTTTCTCCTGTGTTTCATTTCGATCACTTGATTTGATTTTTTCGCAGCTTACACAACCATGTATTTATTTTCGAATGCGATTTAGAGGGACATAATGTTTTTTTTTTCTTAACATTTATTTTCAACTTACTGGAAAATACATTGATTTAAATGTAAAAATACCTGTAATAGTAAATACGAAAAATGCATTGTTTTATGACTACGAACCCTTAAACAATATGTAAAAATTACCTTTACTCAAATTTGCCAAATTTATTTTCAAACAAGAGCAGCAGAGTTGGAAAGCTACAAGCTTGAACATTTACCCACCTCAAATGTGTCAATAGGATAGCTTAAATTAACAGACATTTTCATTAGAGTCCCATTTTAGGTATGGGATCCAGTCTTTTGATTCTTTACCTCTGGTACATCAGTGTTAGTTTCATTTAGAAGCTGTTGAATAGGACGTGTGGTATTTCCTCACAAAACTGAAAGAGTGACATAGAGCAGAGATACTACTTAAAAAAAATAATTATTCTTGATATGTTTCATGGTTGAGACTAAGTGACTTCAATTAAATCAGATTAAAGCAACAACTTCATCTCTCTATACACTTGCAGAAACCAATACAAAAATATCTTGCTAAAAAACAAAGTTATCTATTGTAGATAACTTTGTGCTATATCTGAGCTTTCTTTTATTCTTGATTTTAGTGGCGTTTGACTCTTTAGCATTTGTGTTTGTTTGCCTTTTAGTGTGTCCAAAATTGTGCATTTCTGTCCATGTAACACTATGGGTTTGGAGAGAAGGTTCCTTCGTTAATTTGATATAAAAGTGATAATTGCATTTTAGGGGAGTTTTGGTTGTCATTTAATTTGCATAAGCACTTGTAATTTGAATGCAAAATAATAATGAATTTCGGTGTATCTGGTTTCAAAAGGTAATGAGGTGAACCATGCAGAAAAGTGGTTTCCTATAATGCTACCAAGCTGGCTCACTACATGCTAACAATAAGGTTGTTGTACTGAGAGGGCCATACAATAAAGCCAATATGTTTGTGCGGTGAGAGTTTGCTGGGGATAAAGCACTGAGGGTGATGAATTGAAATGGAAATGAGAGGAGTCAAAGTCTGTGACTGTTTATCCTGCATGAATATGTCATGATGAGCTCTGTTTTTTTTTTTTTTAAATGTTTATGTTGGTTTGATAATCCCACAATGAATGCAGTACAATAAATTTTTTTTTTTTTTCTTTGCGATTAATAATTCTTTGTAGTACCGTCAGCTTTTCTGAAATATGTCTTCTTAACCTATCAACCAATAGAAATACAAATAGACAACCCTGGTCTACAGGTATTTACTGGGGGGGGGCAAAGACAGAGATTAAAGCTCCTTTTCCAGTTTTCTTACAGGAAACAATTGGCTGGCCTTCTACCTTTTTTTTTATGCATCACCAAAATAAAAGTGTTTTATACCATACATTTCCAAATACTAACGCTGCTTTGTTGCTACTTTGCTTTAATTGAAAATCACAGGCACAATTCAGTTGCTGAGCATTTTGTTTTCTTTTGTATTCTTGCAACTAGCTGCATTTGTATTAAACATCTAGTTAAAGAAAAAAATATTACTCTATAGAGCAGAACTGGTTTATGCCTCTCTCAGAGGGTGTGCGGCAGCCTTTGTGAGCTGAAATACTATTCTAGTTGATGAAGAGAGCATCATCTAAGTTGTTTAATCTTCATTTGAACAACAGATTTACAAGGGAAGAACATCTGATGTATGTATTCAGAAAAGACCTCCATCGTCATAAATCATCATGAATTATTGACTGTACAGTGATCACAAAAATTGATCATACGACACAAGACATAAGAATATGGTTTTATCTTAATGTTTAATTCAAAAACATTCCATCTCCATCTCATAAATAATCAAAAAAGGACGAACCTTGGCAGAAATATACTCAGAAATCGTACTACAGATAAAATAAATGTTTTCTCAGTTTGCACAAAACACTGACTGATATTACATAGTGGGGCAGATTTTTGGGACACACTGTAATCAAAACACATCATCTCGCTTCCCAACCGGTATATTTGATGTTTGCTTTCAGGAACCAGGAAAAAGTATGCTGACACCAATGTCTTTACACTCTCTGCCTCAAAAAAAAAAAAAAAAAAACTTCAACTACCGCCAGTGATCACACAGTCTCATCTTGTCCCAGGCAAACAAATCCAGCTCTCCATTTCCCAGAACTGATTTCTGGAGATGTGCTCTAAAAAGATGAAATCTGTCTGATGCAGCAGAGAAAAGCAGAGAGAGGTTGTCTGCGGTGTACGTGCATAGAGAGGGAGGCAAAGTCTCCCTCACTTTTTTGATGTTTAGCAGCTTCTTGTCCGCTCTCTTGCTTGTTTTCACGCACACACACATATGCAAAGTTGCTGCAACACAAATCCAGTTAAACACACACACACACACACACACACACACACACACACACACACACACACACGGAAATTATAGTACCTTGAGAGTTCCAAGTGAGTATTACAAGCAAACATTTACAACATGATAAAAATTCTAACTGCCCCGACTGTTATTGGGCAGCAGTCTCATCAGATGGGTGGGTTTCCCTCTGGGTCTACTCTGCAGGTGTCTCAGCAGCTTCATGGGAGTCCTGAAGCCCGGAGCTGCAGCAGCAAACAAAATAGGCATTCTGAAGTTCCTCTACCATTGATTTCTCCTCTTCCTCCAGTTCAGCAACCTCCTGCATCTCCCACCTGCAAACATAGAGAGACCAAAACATCAGCTGCTTTTAAACCAAAACTTACCAACATACTGAAGGTTAAATGAAAACAAATACATAAAGCTCATTTTACTTTGTGCCTCTTACAGATTATGTTGGGGTTGGAATAATGTCCCAACATAGACTCAGCACACCAAAAAAAAATTGAGACTCTAAAAGCCATAAATGTTTCTCACAAGTCTTCTGTCAGTATAGTGATAGACTTTCAGTATTACAGTTTGCCATCATGCAAGCACACTTACAGACCTGTAAGCATCATCCCATTATCACTTATACATTGCAGCTTGGTCAGTGGCAGAATGCCTGCAAATATGATGCTACAGTAATGGAAGCTATTTCCACCATAAAACTATTTCCACAATTGCTTAATTTCTTGATGATGTCTTCAATCGTATTACTTTGATGAGACGTCAAAGCAAGGTGACATCGTGTAGAATGGTTTCGGAGGGGGGTTGATATTTCAAAAACTGGGCCCTGGACTTGCATCTGTGAGACTGTGGTTCAAATCCCATGAAAAGGCTATATTAATTATATATAGTGGTCAGTATTGACCTCTTTGAAAAACTTGACTCCTTTAAGTTATGTAACATACATTTAAATGTTCGATTTGCCATCTACTTTATGCTAGTCAGTCACATAATGTAAGTTATTTGCATAAACTAGTGTACTAACATTAGTTTTAAAATTCCCACTAAAACTATTATCTTGTTCTAAACATTAACACATTTCAACCGGTTTGTAAGTTTAACTGAATGCTGCAAATGTAATATTGCAAACATACCTATAGTACCTATAATGTCAAATTTTGGGGCCTGAGCCCCCAATAAGGCAACAATCAAGTTGGTGGTGAGAATGTGTTGTCTAAAGACATACAGTATATACAGTTAAGAATGAGGAAATGCCTAAGAGAAAAATTTAAAGAGAAAAAAAAAAGAATGTTCTTGGCTCTCTAAGACTGGCCTTGTCATCTCTTTTTTTGTCAGCTTGCTGCTCACTGTGGCAAAGTCATTGTAGAACAACTGCTGAACTTCTCAGAAACCTAGTTTGGGGGACTTACTTTTGGCGTGGAGGAAATTGCTCCTCGCATCTGGTTTAACAACCTCCCAATGGAATTTCTTGAAGTATCTAATCAAATCCATACAGTATGTAGAGCTGGCTGAAGGCTTTCTTTTAGCAACAGCATCACACTCCTTCCGAAGGGAAATTGTATATTTATGACTGTAAATTATTGCATTTTCATTGCCATGTCTGTGTCTGCTTTGATCCCAGCCTCCGTCCCCTCCGCTCCTGCCTGTATCTTCAAACATGTAGCATATAGTCATGGCGTTCATGTGTGCAAGAAGGAAGAGGGGGTAAAGCATCATGGGTAGTGTATTATGCATACTAAGAAATGGGCCTCTCAATGTAGACCATTTTGATGAAGTTTCAGCCTCTGTCCTATAGTCAAATCAGATGTCTTCCATATGCTTCCCAACCAACATCAGTGTTTTAATCCCCCATATTCATGTTTCTGACCTTTTTCCTCCTTCATCTGGGTGAGAAGTTCATATGCTGTTATAAAGTCAAACTGTTGTGTTCTAGGTTGTAGGTTGGGTAATTGTAGGGTACAGGGCGCCGGATGGCCTAGCTGTTAGGTAGCACAGAGGCTGTTGTCCTTGCAGCAGGCAGCCTTGGTTCCACTCTAACCTGTGGCTCCTTATCTCCGTCCTCGCTTGTCATTCTCCAGTCTGTCTCTCCCTGGTATCAGACTCAATCCACTGTCTGATCTGAATAAAGGCAATTGTTGTCATTTCGACAGTTTTTTTGATGACGACCTCAGTCACCCAGTAAGGTTTTTAAGACAATTGATCGCAAAAACTCTGGAGGAACATCAAGATTTATTTTTCAATGTGAAACAACAAATTCAATTGCCCATTAGCAAGGGTTAGAGCACAGCCAAGGCTAGCATTACATCACTTTTCTTTTTAGCAAATGTAATATACCTACACAAAGTAAAGTCCTTTTTTATGATATAAATCTACCAAATGGTATTATTAGCTTTAATTCATGTCCTGGCTAACGCTTATTTAGCTATATAAAGTAAGGTATTATTATCTGGCACGTAGCTAACTGCAACTGTTATCTGCAGTCTGACTGTTTAGTTTTAACTTGAAATATGGGCCATTGTCCCTCAAGGTTTCACCGTCATTATCTTCTTCCGTTGTTGATCAATAGAGAAGCAATAGTATAGCATCAATAGAGGTCACCTAATATGATGATTTGTTAGATAGCCTCAATAAATCTTGCAACCTTGAATATAGCACTACAGTATTATAACAACATTTTATTTCCAACCCTTTGCATAATGTCAGGGGAAAAGGGCATCTGTCTGAATATGGTGAATAACATCGATAAGAGAGGATCTGCTTATGATGATATGAAGCTGTGACAGAGGTTTTCTTTCATTTGACTGTATTCTCCCTTTAAATGGGGGGGGGGGGGGGGTTGTGCCGGAGTGAAACTCTCTTTTAAAATCTACAATATGTTTAGAGGACTGTTCTAAAAAAAGACAGACAAAGGGGGAAGTAGTTAAGTCTGCCTCTGGCGATTACTGTAGACTCTGTTTGGAGCATGAAGATGACTATTAGGGGCGCACAAATTGCCCCTGTATTATTTCTTCAGTGACATAAAATCAAAATCAGTTCCACTAAATAACCATTATGAGATACAAACACTCACACAAACAAAACAATACAAATGTCACGCAGTGTGCAAAACAAGAGCAGGAAGGGAGAAGAGAGAGCTGCAGGAACAGCGGCCAATAAAGGAGGGAGCAAGAGAGGAAGGAAGACAGGAAGGTACGCTAAAGGTTTTTCAATGTTTAATTTTCAAATAGGATTAAGCAGAATGACATTTAGCTGAAGGTTACAGGCTCAGCATTGTCTTAGCAGATATTGATATGCAGGAGGCGCCCTGCTTGTCACCGGGACAAACACCGTTGATGAATGAGAAGCCTTTCCCCAGGAAGGTGTTAAGTGCAAATTTGAAATGAGAGCGAGGTAGAAGAGGAGAGAGAGAGAGAGAGAGAGAGACAGAAAGACAGAGATTGAATTACAATGATAGTTGCCATGTACACTGTCACTTGATAATGTTGCCAAAAGTGTAAATTGTTGCGTGAAAAATAGGTTGCACATTTGTCGAGATTGGTTGATCTTGTGCTGAAAATGAGCCAAAAAACATACAAGGTGCTTTGCTGAGTGTATCTAATTTCAACAACTACAAATCAACAATGCCTCTTAGAAATGCACAAGTAGGTGAAAGTTGACAATAACTTCACTGTATCCTCATTTCGGCAAGTTTTTCCCCCGGAATTTACATCTTAATAAGGCAAGTCTTACCCTTTAATTCTTATGGGCTCTGCTCATTTCTCATGCATTAATACTGAAGCTGCTGACTTGGCTCTTCCTCTGAATACAGAATAGGACACACATATTAAGACTCATATATTTACAGGATTGATGCCACGGGAGATTGTCTCAGAGTGAGATGAAAAGGCTGGCTCAGATGTATTTCAACGTGAACATCAGTGTAAGCTGCCCTAATCATTGGGACGATGCAGGCAGGAGACAGAGAGAGAGCATTTGTGCTGATTTTCAGCTGATAATGAGTAGTGATGTTTGACAAATTAAGAGCATAAGCCCTGCTCAGAGATCATCCGGCAATCAACTAACTTAATCTTATTCAAAACACACCAAAGATGAAACCTTGATGTTGGAATGAAGCCAAGGAGAATAACAAAAAAGGAGATGTAAAATCTGGGAAAGGAAAATGGAGTGGAGAAGATACAAAATAAAACAGGCAAAGAAACAAAACGAGCAGAAAGACAAAGTGCTTGAGAGATGGTGAGAGGCAGTGGCCAGTGGTTTCCTGTGCAGCTGTCAGTGGGCTGAGTGGTTTCTCTCACAGTGTCGGGTGTTTGTGCTGCACTGGGTGCCCTGCCTGCTCTGCCACTGGGACTGCTGTTTGTTTAAAAGGCTCGCCTGTCAAACAGAGAGCGCCACTGACTGCCAGACACTCGGCTAAATGACTCTGACAGCAGCCCTAATCAGAGGCTTTGCACATTGCCGCGGGGCCTGGAGGATCCATCATAACCCAAGCCTAAATATTTAAAGTGCTAAACTTTCCAAAGGTCAGGCCTTTCCATGCATGCCAGGGCGACATGTGTCAGAGAAGTAGGGAGCGAGAGAAAGAGAGAGAGAAAGACTATGGTTAAATGTCCTCTCATGTCCTATCATTCTCTCTCTTTTGAGACCCTCTTTCCGTTTCAGAACTTCAGTTTTCTTGTATTGAGCGGACTTGAACCATCTCATTTGGGGTTAGAATCTTGAATGAGATTGAAAGATAAATTATACAACAATATTGGTAAGAAAAATAAACCCATGTTGCGGCTGACAAGAGAGTCCCGCACTAACCGAGACACTCAGATTCACCCTTTGTCCCTGAAATACAAGGAGATATATTCAAACTTGTGAGTCATAAAAAGTAGCTGCCAGACAGCATTGAGTGAGCAGTCGTCTCGGACAAAAACAAGATTGAGTCAACCGTGAGCTGAATTTAACTTTTATAACCCCACCAGAATGAGTTTTGAAGAACTCAAGTAGTAATTATTTTTTTGCAGAATTCACAGCTCAGACTTAGGTTTACATGTTGACATGACGAGGTCAGTGGATGAATGTTGATGGAAGGATGAAAAAATAATGTACGAGAATGTGTACAGTCTCAATTTGACCTTATTGGACAGCTGAGTTAAATAATTGATTTAATGAGGGAATAATTGAGTTTAAAAAACATACAAAGCTGCAGGCTATGGCAGAGAAATCTGCAAAACTGAAGAAGGCACATGAAGTAAACATTTACAGTAATGGAACATATGGTATTGTACGTGAGTGGTGGATGGAAAGGAAAATGTCAATTAGCTGAGAGTGATGGGGGATG